TAATTAGAAATTATAAGATTAAAATATGTATTAAAATTTCTCTCTATATATAAATAATATTAAAATAAAAAAAAAATAAAAAAATTATTATTTGATTTTAGAAATATTCTTCTTGGTAAACTGAATACTAAACGTCAGAGAAGACAGCAAAGACGATCTAAAATAGAAGGAGAAACTCAACATGGTGCAACATTACCATGGAGGAATCAAAGCAATACATCACCAATTGCATTTAATACAGGATCAACTTCTAATTTATTAAATGGAACTCCAACTGCTATTGGTGTTAATAGGAGTGCTTCTAGTAGTTCTATGTATAAAAGTAAAAAGAAAAAGCGAGATAAAATTAAGAAAAAATTAACTAAAGATGATATTGGACCTCCATCCGATTTTAGGTTGAAATTTTATTACATTATTGTTTTAGTTTGTAATTTTAGTTACAGTTAATAATTTTTATATTTTTTACATTTATCTTAATTTTTAGACATGTTACACATTTTGCGTGGAATGCTAACAGTAAAGAATTGGAATTAGAAAAAATTGATCCACATTTAAGAATGTTTCTTGATAAAGTTGGCGTATCGGAATGCCAATTCAGAAATCAAGACACGCGCGATTTTATTTATGATTTTATTGAAAAGCATGGTGGCATGAATGCTATTAGAGAAGATATAAATTCATCTATCCCAAAAACTAATGCACAACAACAATTGCAACAGCAAATACGACAACCTCCAACAGCACTTCAAAGACAGGAATATCCTCCTCCAGTTCCTGCAAGAACAATACCTGTTTGTATATTTTTTATTGTAATATTATTATTTGTTGTTATTATATACTATATGTTATTGTACAAAATGAATGAATTGTACAATGAATTTTACAAACAATGTTTTTACAGCATCAAACTCGAATTGCTCCACCATTACCTCCAAATCGATTTAATGCACCTTTGACACCACCAAGTGCACCATCAAGTGCACCACCAGTTCATAGAACATTGCCAACTCGACCGCCACCACCTTCTTTAACTTCTGCACCATCACTGCCACCACCTCCACCTCCTCCTCCTCCACCACCACCTCCACCTGCTCCAGCTCCACGCTCAAAAAGTAACTTGAGTCCATCTGTTCCAACTCCACCACCATTACCTAATTTACTAAGTCCTGATGATGGAACTATTAATACAAGTGCTATCAATAATAATAATACTAGTAATAATAATAATAATGAAGATATTGCTGACTTGAGATCAACTCTTATGGAATCTATAAGAAGTGGTACTACTCTTCGAGTTAGTATGAAAATTTAAAATTATAATCACTAATATTTTTAATGATTATACATAACATTTTGATTATATATATTATATATATTATTATAGAAAATCGATAAATCGGAAATAAAACAGAATCCCCCATCAGACGATTCTAGAAATGCTTTATTAGAGCAAATTCGTCAAGGAATTGAATTAAGGCCTGTTTCGAATGAAGCAAAAAATAAAACAACATCAGCATTTCAAGGAGGTTTGGCTAGTGCTTTGTCAAGGGCTCTTGCTGAGCGATCGAGTGCAATACATAGTGAAAGTGATGATTCAACTAGTGAATCCAGTGATGATTATGAATGGGATGATTAACTCAGGTTAGTTAGAATTTAATAATATATTAGATTATAAAATATCTTCTTGATAAGAGTATGAAATATTATTTCAGATGAAATGAATAATTCGAAAAATGAAATAATATATCACTGTGATAAATCTGCTATCAATAAATATGTAAACAGAATAGCTATAAATGTATAATATAATGATTTTGAATTTGATATCCAAAGAAGCATGAAAATCATATATAAATTTTTCAAAAAACAAATCACTTATATGTGTTATCAGGAAGTAAGGCACAATTATATGGATAGGACAAGTAAGAGCAGAATAAAAATCTTAGTATAATATTGATAAAATTATAATATATATTTATCTGAGAAAGAAAAAAAATACTAGAAAGAAAATAAGGTATTATATATAGCACAACAAATCTATAAAAATCGATTTTTCGATAATATTTATTTGTTTAATCGATAATCAATATTTGCCAAATAAAACGAGTACTATAAAAACGATTATATTCATGCTGTTTCAATAAATATAAGAAATACTATAATAAATACAATTAAGTAAAAATTATTATAACCATATAGTACAGTTAATAGTATTATATGTAAATTTCATGTAAGTTTATATTATTATTTTAAAAATTAGCACATTTCCTGTATAATAATTGTAAAATTTACCTTAGTTTATCCTATCCAATTTATATGACTCAAAATACATGCAATTTTAAGTTAACAATAATGTTAGTACAAGATGTACACTTACAAAATTGTAAGTAAGTAAATGTATAAATTTCCAAATTAATTGGAATATAAATATCAATCTGAATGAACAAAAAACAAAAAGTATTAAAAATATTACATTTTTTAAAATTTATTCTATGAAATTATAATAATTTCGATAATCAATAATATAGAAAATATACATCGAAACTATATTAATTTGTATTTATATATATTATTACATAGATCATTTAAGTTTTTGTTTATTATAAAATATTAAGTATTAAGATCAACTTATATACCTGATATTTCAAATGCAGAAATTGATCCTTATAAAAGTATATAAGTTATATTAAATCTATTAATATACAAAATTTTTGTTAAAGAAGTAATTTTCTCAATTTCTCACTTATTGTTTTATTTGTAGACTTAGAAACTCATTTAAGATATCTGTATAACGGTCTTGTATCTAGTCGCTTATGAAACTGAAAACAGATGTCCTGAACTGATGTAAATTATAATATCCTAAAAGAGTTTCTAAAGTTTTTAAATAATTTAATGAATTAAGAGTTGATAATTTTTAACTTTTTATTATTAAGTTTTTATGATTTTTTTTTATTTTTTAATTTATTGTATCAATGTAACATCTGTCGGCCTCCGTTCTAAGAAAATCATAAAAATGATTTTTCATAAAATATAAGTGAATTAAATTAATTTCTATGATAAAACATGACTATTTTTGCATTGTTGGATAATAAATAATTTATATCATTTGTTCAAATAAAAAAATAGCGTATCAAATGATTTAAATGTATTCTTCTAAAGTATGTATGTATAAGATTATAATTAATGATATAGTAAAAATTGTATGTTTTCACGCGGTGTGATATAGATGATAAAACTGTGGCAGTGAAGCAAAATTCGAGAATGTTGTTTATACATATACATATATATGTATAAGAATATACACAAAATGTATAAGGAACAAAATAGAATATCATTATGGAAAAATCTTAGTCACATAGGAATGAGACGAAAAGAATATGTTAATTATAAGTTATTATATTTTATTATATTTTATGCAATATTATTGCATATATTATAAATGCTATGTTATTTGACATCCAAAATTCGATTAATTAAAAATTATAGTTGCAAGATTTTTGCTTTAATTATTATTGAATATTAAAAAAATATTAAAATAGAAGTGTAATCAAGAGAAAAAGAAAAACTATAACTGTGTTTGTTAACTAAAATAAAGAGAAAGTAACCAGAAATGTTAAAGTAAAAAACTTGTTACAAGTAATAAATTAATAAAATTGTATAAAGAACGATAGAATCACACAATTTTACTTTAAATGCATATAGAAATATTGTTGCATTTAAAGAGAAAGAAAGAACTATTAATGGACACATATTTTTGTCCATTTTTAAAAAATATATTGTTCTTTTATTAAGTGTAAATATAATGTTACAAATCATATTATATTTGTATTATAACTACCAAATATCAAAAAAGTATGAAAAAAGAACTTAAACTAATATTAATTTACTTATAACATGTAATTCCTTTTATTTCCTGTATCATTTTTTGTATTATTTGAAAATATAAAGTTGTATATAATTTATAATGCAAATTTTATAAAATAAAATAACAAGAATGGATTTTTTATTATAACAATAAAAAATTTTCACAAAAATAATAAGAATTCATAGAGATAGAAAAAAATTTAAATTTGTTATGTGAATATAATAAAGTTTTAAAAAAATTGTTGAATATGTATCAAAGTAATATTTATATTATTTATTTATCAATCATTTATTCTTATATATATTGGAAATTAGATTAAACAGATCAGATATGCATATCGATCTAACTAAATATTTTTGCTATGAATATAATAATATAAATAAAACATATGTGCATACATTTGTTTAAAAGATAAAAATAAAATATTCAAATTTTTAAATTAAATATATAATAATAATTATCTATCATCTTAAATATTTTATTATAAAATACGAATTTTATAATTGTATTAAAATATTAAAAATATATATATATATATATATATATAAAAATTTGAAAATATTAAAGAAAATTTTGTGTAAATATATACATTTTGTAAAAAAAAATAAAATTAAAATTTGAAACATTTGAATCAATTATATTAGATTAATAAAAGTTATTTTAAATTTTAGAAAAATGTAATTTTTTCATAAACTTCTAATTCTTAAAAATATGTATTATGTATGTATTATGCCATATTTATATAATTGAAATTGTTGATTTTATCGATGAATGTTTATCATATAAATATGTCAACAAATATAAAAGAAAATAGATAAAATGTTATAAATTATTTATTAACTTGTTTATTAAAAATGAAACGAATATTGCTAGATAGAGTAAACTCGATAAAAATTTCTTATTCTATTTGTTAATTAAATATTTTTAATGTTATTATTTGTTATATATTATAAAGTAAAAATAACATTTCTTTTTTCTTAGAAAAATATCAAATATTCAATTATTTATTTGTAATTTAATCAATATTACATAATATATTTACACAGAAGATAAATATATATTTTAATATAAAATTAATGTAATTATAGAATTACATTCGATTATAAAAAATTTATCTCTAATAGGCATTTATAAATTATAAAACTATAATTTGTTTCTTTTATATATCAATTTTAATTTTAATATCAATCATTTATATATAAAGAAAGAAGAAAAAATAGAGAGTTTTTTTCCTCAAAGATCAATATAAAAAGTGTATTTATATTTTATTATTATTTGTTATTTGTGGTAAAGTAGTAGGAACAGATATGCTAAATGCGGCAATAAATACATTTATAATAGTTATTAGAAAAACACCGATTACTACGTAATTATTGATTTTTCGTGCTTGTAATGACTTTGATTGTCCTTTTATATCAAATCGACCTTTGAAAATCAGACTGATTCCTACAGCCACCTAAAATTAAACAAATCAAAATATTTTACTAATCATAATTAATATCGTAAAGATAATTTAAATTCATTTACATTTTGTTAATTTATGATTATTATTCATATTATTTATATTGAGTAGATTTCATTTAATCGATTATTCGAGAATTATTCGAGTCACATAAAAAAATAAGAAATATAATTTAAAATTAATAATTATTATTATTTTACCTGAAGAAAAAGACTGATGATTATTAAACTCATAATTAAATAAAATGTAGGGCTCTCTCGTTGATACTCAATCAGATATCTTAATTGATTCGCATTGGCAGTGATTAGGGCAACATCCATCATACCTTGTGCTACAGTTTTTTTTGCGGCATAAGTATTGGATTGTTTGTACGCTTGAGATTTTTTATCTATTGTGTCGGTAGAAAACACAGCATCTTTCACCACTATTTCTTCTATCACTTCCAATTTGTTTTGTTTCTCGTTTTCATCCATTACTTCTTTCTTATATTAACTTCTTTAACTTCTTTTTTGTTTTTTAATCCAAACACGCGACGTCTTTATTTTTTTCACTTTTTGATTCGAAATAACACATCAATACATAATTTATTTCTTAAACTTGATGATTTTTGTTTTGTCAAATCAATTATACACTTATTACAATATGTTTTTATTTTTAATGTTATTGTTAATGTTATTTATTCATATATTTATGAACAAATTTAAAGAATAATCAAGCTTTAATAAACTGAATTTCGTGACAATTATTCTAAGAAGTGGACATATTATTACTGTTAGGATACTAATGTACGAAATGAAGTATTAGATTAAACTGCTCCAGTCGATCTATGTAAATAATTCGTCAACAAATCATTATCACTTCGAATGGTTAAACGTTTCTTCCGCATTCTCATTGTTTAATCACTAATATCAAAAATGGAAAACGCTTTGTTCAAGTATTGAAAATGAAAAGTAATTCAGATATGAGTTTCTCTTTTTTTATGCGTTCTAATTGAACTTTAACACAATTATCAAATTATCAATCGAAATATCGGAAATTCATTTCTGCACATTTATATAAAAAGTTTTTCAAAAATTTTTCAATTTTTTTTAATAATCAATAATAAAAAAAGAACTTGATAAATTCCGCATTTACTTGGAGAATAATAAAAATAAAAATATTTTACCTTTATATATTCTAACTTATCTATAGAAGTATTAGAAGAAAGTTAGAGAAAAAAATAACGATAACTATTATCGTATTATTCTATATTAAAACTAAAGTGACGTGGTTTTTAATGAAACCGCATGTAACACGTGATCGAAGGGAAATGTTTAAGGATAATAAATATACACATACAGTTTGTGTTAATCAAGTGTTCCCTGTTCTTATCATCGAATATATACCAGTTTTTATCGTATTCAAACAATAAAGCAAAAAGACGGTAGCGAGAAACAATTTCAGCTATTTTCTCTGATTGTTATTTGACTTTTAAAAATCTATAGAATCTTAATATATTTATAATAAAAATATATAATAATAATAATAATATATAATAATAAAAATACAGGAATAACAAAATAAAAATTTAATATATAAAAATATTAATTAAGATTTGTTTTATTAAAGTATATAGCAATTGAAATTTGCATTAAATGAAATAAAACAGAGATAAAATGAGATATCTGTGACATTGCCATCTCACGTAAACTTCAATTGCTTATAACTTAATAAATAAGCCTTAACCGTCATCTTTATATCTTAACTTTTATGTTTATTTTAGTTTCTAGAATCGACTCTTCAAAAGTATTTCACAAATGCATTAACATCGTATATATTTTAAAAGAAGTACAATTACAAGAATTATATAATAAATAGAAAAAATATAATAAAAATATTATATATATTATTATATAAATAATAAATAGAAGAGTGAAATATTTAATTCTATTAAATATTTGAATATAAATGTTATGATATTTTTCTTCTTTTATATTGTATAATTACATTGTTTTTTCGATTGCAACTCAAATTAATCGATTGCATTTCATATTGATCAATTGCGTTGTAAGATAAGATTCTAGATGCTTAGATAAGTAAATTATCATATACGATTAACTTTTTTTGTTTTTATTTTATTATTCTAAATCAAAAGAAAAAAATAACATATTATGTAAAAATTAAATCTCTCTAATGAAAGATAGATTTGATTAAATAAAAATGTAAAACATTATTTTAAAAATCAAAAATAATATTAATTAATTTTTATTGACAATAGTGATTACATTTAAATAATACATAAATAATGATTTCATATTATTTCCATTAATAATTTCCATTGATAAAAAATATTCTTCTTCTTTTCTATTAATTATATTATATTATATTTATCTTATATAATTATGATGCGTATAATATATATATAAAAAGACAGTACGACCTTTTTCGTGTCAGTGATATTACCGATAAACTCGTAGAAATTTCATTATAAAGATTTCAGAATTTGCGTTTCATGTTCTTTCTAGAATAACAATTTATACAAAAGAAAAGTGTTGTAATTGACAAATCACAATGCAGGTGAGTTTCACTTTTTATGATATATATATTATTGATTAATACAGAGATAAAATAAATTTCGATTTTATCGATGCGAGACACGAAAATATATATTTAACAATCATATTGATTAGCTATATTTATATGCATTATATATATGTTTACGAAAACAGGTTTACGAAAAATTATGGAGAGGCCGTTTTATGGATAATATCGATCAAAAATTTCATGATTTGAACGCATCGATTGATATTGATAAACGAATGTATGCAGAGGATATAGAGGTTTGTGTATACGAAAAAAAAAGAATAATATTAAACATGTATGATTAAATATATGAAAATTTATATAAAATGTTTACATACAATATATATTTAGATTAAAGAAAAAGAAAAATATTTATTTTCAATAAAAGATAAGATGAAGAAAAAAAATCATTTATAGAAAACAAGAAAAAATTAAAAATATATTTATTACATATTTAATACATAATATATATATTTTTTAATATTCTATAAATCTTCAGGGAAGTGTAGCATATGCAAAAGCAATACGATTGGCCAATCTTCTTACAGATGAAGAATTACAAGTTATGCTAAATGGTCTCAAACAAGTAAAAAAGAAAATTTGTATAATTTATAATTTATAATTAGTTGTAAAAAAAAAATATTAATTTCATATGCTAAGACATGATCGAATATAAAAAACAACTTGATACAGGTGAAAGCTGAATGGGAAGAGGGTCGATTCAATATAAACATCAAAGACGAAGATATCCATACTGCGAATGAGCGTCGACTTACGGTATATATACATATTAATTATACTATCATTTTTTAAAATGAATATAATAATTTAAATTGCTTTTATTTTATTAAAATTTTATTTTATTAGAACAAATAAATAATGAGTATTTATAATATAATATTTCTATTTTAATATAATATTTCTATTTTTCTTCTTCATAATATCAATTCAAAGAAAATATTTATTTTATTATTATTAATATTTTATTTTTTTATTGATTTCTTAATTAATAATTTAGGAATTAATCGGAGATATTGCAAAGAAATTACATATCGGAAGGAGCCGAAATGATCAAACTATAACTGACACAAAATTATGGCTTCGAAAAGCTATAGACGTGCTTTTAAAGAAATTGATGAAATTCATTCAGGTAAGAAAGTTAAAATTATATATTAACAAAAAGAAAAACTATAATTGGAACGAAAGACATGTACAGGTTCTCGTCGATCGAGCTGAAAATGAGATAGAAATTATTATGCCCGGATATACTCACATGCAACGTGCTCAACCAATAAAATGGAGCCAATGGTTACTCAGGTATAAATGAAGATAATATAATATAGATATACTTTTTATTGGAATCTGAAATTTAAAATAATAAAATCAAACAATAGAATTGAAATTTTTTTTATAGCTACGCATGGTATGCTAAAGCAGATATTGAGAGATTACAAGAAATTCGAAAACGGGTAACATTTTGCCTTTGGGCAGTGGCGCAATAGCTGGGAATCCTTTTCAAATTGATCGACGTACTCTGGCCAATGAATTGAATTTTTCTGAAATAACAGAAAATAGCATGTATGCTATAGGGGATAGAGATTTCGTTGGTAAGCGAAAAACACTTTAAACAATATATTTATACATTCAATAAAATCAATAATAAGACGTAAATATAAAAAACAATTTAATTGAAATGTTAGAAAGATATCAAAAAAGAAAAGAATTCTTTTTTCAGTTTACATATTATAAATTTTTTTTTCTTTTAAAGTTGAATTTCTTTTTTGGTCTTCATTAACGGTAATTCATCTGAGTCGTCTTTGTGAGGATTTGATCATTTATAGCAGCGAGGAATTCGGTTTCGTGAGATTTGCTGATCAATTTTCTACAGGTAGTAGTTTGATGCCTCAAAAACGTAATCCTGATTGTATGGAATTAATTCGAGGAAAAGCTGGCACTTTACTTGGAAAAGTTTGTAATTCTATAAATTATTTTTAATGATAAATAGACGCATAGATTTGTACATGTAGATTATTTAATTATGTTTATTTCATATTCTAGTGTATGGGTTTCATGACTACTTTAATAGATTATTTAATTATGTTTATTTCATATTCTAGTGTATGGGTTTCATGACTACTTTGAAAGGAATTCCATCTACATATAATAAGGATCTTCAAGAAGATAAGGAAGCTATATTTTCTACATTCGATGTATTAGACAATATACTTGTTATTGTTACAAACGCAATAAACACGCTTGAAGTAAAAAATAAGAAGTGTGAGAAAGCTTTAACATCTACTATGTTAGCAACTGATATGGCATATTATCTTGTTCGAAAAGGAGTTAGTATAAAATAATTAATTATAAATCAAATTTTTAAATATATGTCATCTAATTTTAATTTTTTTTTAATAATGAATTTTTAATAGATGTCGTTTAGAGAAGCTCATCACTTAACTGGAAAAGTTGTTGCTCTATCAGAATTATTAGAAGTATCTCTTTGTAAATTATCACTTAAAAATTTACAATCTATAAGGTAAATAATTTGATTGAAAATTCAAATGAAAATTTATTTCATTGAAATATCTAATTTTTTATATTATATTTTTTAGTACTAAATTTCAAGAAGATGTGAAACAAATTTGGAATTTTTCCCATAGCGTTGAACAATATAAAGTTACAGGTGGAACTAGTACAGCTGCATTAATAGAACAAATTAATAAACTTCGAACTTCATTGATATAATAATTCTGTCTAATAAAAATAAATAATAAAAATAATTCAAAATTAATATGTGATAAAGTTTAGAAAGCTGTCTGATTTTTATGATTCTACTAATTTCTGTTCGACTGTTTCACGCTCCCACAATATGTCGTCGCTCTACGTGCGTTGAGTATCGCACATGAATCTCCTTTCACAATCCCACCCGAATGTGACGAATTGTTTAAAATAATAAATGAAGTTATAAATCATCTTGTGACATCCATTGAAAAGTAGAATAGAAACTGTATCATTATTACAAATTATGTTGGCCGAGAAAATAGGTTATGCAGCGATTATATATTGGGGTTATAAATTTTCTTGCAATATAATATACCGAATATATAAGAATTTCTTCTCTGTGTCTGTGGTTGACTTATGCTCTATGGGTAAATGGGCAGTTGTCACAGGATGTTCTCATGGAATTGGAAGAGCATACGCGGAAACATTGGCGAAGATAGGATTGAATGTGATTTTAGTTAGTCCTGATACGGAAAATTTAAAAACCATTGCAAGCAATATCGAAGCAATGTACAATGTGAAAACAAAAGTGATTAAATTAGATTTATCGGAAGGCTTGGAAACGTATAATGTTATTGAAAAAGAGATGTTCGGCCTAGAAATTGGCATATTAATCAACAATCTTGGCATGTCATATCCGCATCCAGAATATTTTTTAGATCTTCCTCATAAAGAAAAGATCTATATGAGTATTGTTCATTGTAACGTAGTAGTTGTGACAAATATGTGTCGTATTTTATTGCCACAAATGGTGGTTAGAGGGAAAGGAGTTATAGTCAACGTAGCCTCCATGGTAGCAGTATTGCCGAGCCCTTTGTTGACAGTCTTCGCAGCCACAAAAGCGTATATCGTGAAATTTAGTAGAGATTTGCAGATAGAATATGGAAAACATGGTATAATTGTGCAGTGTTTGTTACCAGGCACAGTCACTAATCATACCACAGAGTCACCACGATCAGGATGGATGGTTCCGACACCGGAAAAATACGTTCAGAGCGCGATCAGAACTATAGGCAAAGAAAATGTGACGACTGGATTTCTACAACATTCCATTTTGATTGGAATAATAAAATTTATCTATCGAATATCACCGAGTTCCATCATCGTTTGGATGATTAATATTATGGAAGGAAATCGAAATAATGCGCTACGACGATATGTCGGATGACTTTGTAGAAATATTTTAATATATCAAGTTTTACTTAAGGAAAAGGTGCTTTTTGATTTTTTTTATATTATAAGATAATATAAAATAAATTTCAATGAAATTGTAAAATTAAAAAATTCTATTTTTTAAAATTTTTGAAGATTTAAAACAAAATGTAAATTCAAAATAGAATAATGTTAAAAGTAGGTAAATTTATTCATCCAGAATTAAAATTTCTTTTGTGATTATATAATGATCTAACGAATCAGAAATTATTTAACTTATTTATCCGAAAAATGATATTTTTAATTGCTAATTTGATTTCATTTTTTTTAAAGATAAAATAATTATTCAAAAAATATTATAAGAAATTATTTTTAAAAATTATAATAACTTGGTGAATAGCAAAATAAGATATAATGATAAAAATTATCATATCATGAAAAAATTCTTTTGTCATTATAAATAAAAATGAATAATTATTTTTTTTATAAATGATAGAACCAATAATAAATTATGAATATATTATGAATATAATAATCATAATTATACTTTATTTTCTTGTCATACTTTTCGTTTTTTCGACATTTTTTTTTTATAATAATTCATATATGAGAAAATTATCCAAAAAATTTTCTGCATAAAAGTTATATTTTAGCATTTTTTTTTTTTTTTTTTTTACTGATTTACATTTCGTCAGAAAGGAGATATAGAATAAATCTAATATTCATTGTTCTTTTTGTTTCATATCTCAGACTCTTATCATTTTAATATTATCTTTTCTACTGATTCTATTCAGAATAATATTATAATATTACTAAGAGTTGGAATTAAAAGTAAATTTTGATATAAAATTAACAGATAAAAAAAATGAAACAAATATTCTGTTACATATATAATATGTATCATGTATATATGAAATATTGCATTTTATAGATATATTGTATAAAATAAAAAATGTAAAAATATTTATATTTTTTATAAAAATTAAGATATTGTAGTTTTAAAAAGAATTGATGAAAGTGTATTTAATTGATATCTTGTATTTAATCTATGGTCAAGTGCTAAAAATAAATATAAAGAAACAGAACAAATATTAAAAGAAAAATAGAGAAAAAGTAAAAATTCAAGAATCAGCATTATTTCTTGACTGCCAATAATCAAAATGTTGAAAAATATTGTTTAAATTAATTTATTAAATTTATAAATAATTGAAGTTTGTGTTAAATGAAGATAAAAATAAAATGAAATTAATGTTCTATCTCCGTTTCAGCGACGTCATATTTTATTCCCGTTTTATTTCATTCAAGCAAATTTCGATTGTTTATCATTTAATAAATAAATCTTAATTAATATTTTTGTAATTTTTTTCTATTTTTATCTTTAGAATTGATGATTCATCATAAATATTTCAATTTCTATTAATATTAATGTATACATAAATAACTTAATTTTATTTTAATATTGAAAGCAGTTAAGTTTTTAACAAGAAATTTATAATTATATTTTATGGTAAAAAGTGAAGGAAGTGCATACAAATATATTAAGAAGTATTATAAAAATTTAAAAAAAACAAAATAAAAAAGAAAAAATCAGGAAGTGATTAGAAACAAAAAGAAAAACAACGAAAAACAAAGAACAGATAATAAGCAGACAAAAAAAGAAAAGTGAAAAAGAAGAAAGACACATAAGGTAAGTACAGTAGGTAATTTCTATTAGAAATAAAATGGAAAGTAATTTTATATGATGATTATTGATGATTTCATTTTAATATTTGCAAAAAAGAAAAAAAATTCAATATATACAAAATAACAAAAAAGTAAGATTACATAGTTCATTTTATATATTCAATTTGATTATATGTCAAATCGGTAACGTTGGAAACGACACGAAGTGATAATTTCATTCGTAAGTTGGTTCATAAATATTTTTGTTTCGATAACTCGAACATTTTGTTACGATTATAACTTTAAATATAAAAGTCTTGTTTAACTATAAATTTCTTTATATTACAAACGTTATATTCAAAAATTAATTTTTTATAAGAAGCAGGTTTGTCAATAAACGATATAGTATATTTTTAGAATAATGCGACAAATACTTAGCTTCTCAGTATGTTTTTAAAATCTTTTTTTCATTATGATTATTAAAAATAATTAATATTAAAAAAAATTCATTTGAAATTTTTTATACACTCATCTTTAGACATATCAATATGTGTTTGATAAATATAATTTAATTAATTATATATTTTCTAACCTTTTTACCGATTTTGTCAATATACAATATAATATTTAATAATCAATAATTATTAATTATTAATTGTTTTATGAATATGAAAATTATAATGTGTATGATATAATTTAAAATATTGAAATTATTATTAAATATAAAATATCAGATTACATTATTTTTTCTAGGCAGGTTTCATATATAAAATAAAGAAAGAAAGATTTGGCGTAAAATATATAAATATAATTAATCGATTTACGCATTTAATTCGTATCAAAATGGACACTGCTCGACATTATGATAATCCATTTGAAGATTATCCTAATGCTACAGTAAATTTTGTTGTGAATACAGCAACTAATGAAGTAAGTATTTTATTTATAAATTAATCAATAATTAGATTATAAATTATTTATAAATAAATAGAAATTTGTATACCAAATTTTATGTTTATTAGATCACTGAAAATTATAAAGAAACATTAAAAATACAAACAAAGAGATTAATAGATCAATTGGAAGAAAATGAACACCAGTGGACTTATCATGATGATTATTCTGTATATACTGGGTCAGCAGGAATTGCATATATGTTTTATCAATATGGAAAGTGTTTTAATGAACCACACTATATTGATGTATGAATCTTTTAATATTTTTATTTTTTTAAATGATAAATTATTTTTTAAATTTATATATTCTTTTAACAGAAAGCAATGGAATTAATAAGAATATGTATACATAGATGCAGAAGCAAAAGAGAAATTACATTTTTGACTGGTATTGTGGGTCCATTAACTTTGTCTGCAATTATGTTTCATTCGCAAAACAATTCTACTACAACACAAGATATAATTTCAAGGTAAATATTTTAATTTTTTATATTAATTAATTTATATTTTATAATATATTAGAGAGATATAATATTGTTTAATTAATAAAATAAATTAATTTTTATATTTTTTTTATTATTACTTCCAGAATAAAATCACTATCTTCTTATGTTTTGGATGAAAATAGTGGTTTGCCTGATGAATTACTTTATGGAAGAGCTGGTTATCTCTTTTCTCTCCTTTTTTTGAATTCAAATATATTTCCTGCTCCCATAGAAGATGAACTTATTAAAAAGGTAACAAAAATTAAAATAAATAACAGTATTTATATATAATATTATATTGATTAAAAAACAGTATTAATATATAATATAATATAATAATAATAATAATATATAATATACTGTTAAATATATATTATTTATATATATCATATATCAGTATCACATTTATATATATCATATATAATATTATTTTGATTAAAAAAATATTATATCAGGTTATTGCAGTCATAATTAAATCTGGAAATTTGTATTCTGCTTCGAGAAGATATAAAACACCTTTAATGTATATTTGGCATGGAACAGAATATGTTGGTGGTGCACATGGATTAGCTGGAATACTTTACATATTGTTACAAGTATGACATATCTCTGTTATATTTTAATAATTGATAATATTTTTATAGTAATATAATAATATTATTTTTTTAATATATAGAATAGTCTGCATACTATTGTAAAACATTTTTTTCTTGGAAACTATAATAGAAATCGATTTTTTTTTTATATTTTAATGATACAAGAAGACTGATTTGAGATACAAAAGATTTTTTTGCAACGGCTACAAAGGAAAACAGAAATCACCTTCTTTTTTTTAAATGAATGGTATATTAATTTCTATTTATTAAATGGTTGAATAATATTTGCTTGAAACATTTTCCATTATTATTCATAATCAAAATCAAATAATTTTCTTAACATGTTTTCACATGCTAGTTAAAAAAATAACTTGCAAAATTTTATGTAGACTATCCTGTTTGTCTAATTTTGAAAAATATAATAATTTTAAACATAATTGATATTATAGGCACGAAAATATTTAACAAAAGATCAGTTAGAGAAAGATATAAGACCTGCATTAGATTTTCTTCAGAATTTACGGTTCCTTCTGGAAACTTTCCAACTGCTATTGGAAGCCACAGTGATAAAATACAATGGTGCCATGGTGCACCTGGAATGACTATGTTATTCTGTTTAGCTTATGAGGTTACTATTATTTAATTAATTTTTAATTTTTAATTTTTAATTAAATATCGTTAAATATTTAATATATTATTAAATATGGATATATAGATATATGAAAATAAAAATTATTTAAAAACTGCTCTACAATGTGGAGAATTGATTTGGTCAAGAGGAGTACTTAAAAAGGGATATGGAATATGTCATGGCGTATCTGGAAATGCATATACGTTTTTATGTCTTTTTCAACAAACAAAGGTTAAGTTGAATTTAAAAAATATAATAAATAAATATATAATATAGTTTTAATAGATATCAATAAAATATTGATTTTATGTGCAGGATGTGAAATACCTTTATAGGGCTTGTAAGTTTGCAGATTGGTGTATGGATTATGGAACACATAGAAAAAAGATTCCTGATAGACCGTTTTCATTATTTGAAGGTATTTTATTACAAATTATTATCGAGTTTTTTCATCTATTATTCGTATTTATTATTAAATTAATAATATCTATTATTTTAGGTCTTGCTGGTACAATTTATTTCTTGATCGATATTCAACAACCGCTTTCAGCAAAATTTCCAGGATATACTATTTAAATTCAATATATTTCGATAATACACATATTTCCTTTGCGTGAAAATTAATATCTAAGAAATAAAAACAATTATCAAATTCATAGATTTTGTCTATATAATTCGTCTATATATTATATATTTATATTTCGAATATGTAAAAATCAATATATATCTTATTGAATAAACAAAATAAAATAACTTACAGTATCATATAAAATATTTATTCCATATTACCCATCATCTTTTATTATTATAATTTTTTTATAAAATTATTTTTAATTTATTTTTAAAAATATAAAAGAATTATAGAATAAATGGTAAATGAGAAATTTGCAAAAAATATTCATATTTTTAATCCATGAAGTAAATTTTATGAATTCGTACAAACTATACAATAACAGGATTATTTTTTGTTTCTTTTCCTTGAAAGCTATATCTATTGATAAAAAGAAAAACTATATATATTTTCAAAAAATTATTCAAATTTTATCCGCGGCAAGTCTCACCATATAGAAAGTATACTTGATTGCATATAAAGTTTATACAAAACTGAAATTCGAAGTAATCGCAAAACCTCGATTCGAATAAATCACGAATATAATTTCTTTTGCAAAATATGATTATTTCTAGTTCATATATTTTGTCACATAATTCAAACTTTCTTTGATTAATTTTTATGTTTTAAATTTTTAATCTTATTATTATTAAAATAAAATTATCATTATAATAAACTGGAAAAGAAATTAAAAAAGAGATTAAATTCATTATTAAGAATAATTTTATATATAAATTTATATATGATAAAAAATAATTAGATAAAATTTTTTCAAATCTAAATATAAAGTGCAAAACGTAAGGAATCTAATGAAATTTTCTTATAGGTTTTCGTAAATTAAGAAATAAATATATTATTTTTGTTTGTATTAATGTTTCGAGAAAAACATATATTTATAATAAATAATAAATATTTAAATTGTATTAAATGTTATAACAAAAAGAATATTTTTTTAACAAGCCAATAGAAGGAAAATATCAAAAGTGAAACGTTAATCGAATATTAATGGTAGACCAATAGTTCTTCATCACATATTGTAACAGGCCACAATATTCATAGCGTCGCATTGGTATTTGTAAAAAGAGAAAAGTTTAGAAGAATTGTTTGAATTCAAAGTATTTATATCAGTATTAACAATCAGTATTATATAGTCATATAAATATATATTTAATTATAAATAATTATAGAAATATTAATTATAAATATATTAAATTAAATTTTATATATATAAAATATATAAAATGTTATATATTTTTATATTATTTTATAGAAAATTAAAATCAATTAAATATATCAAAATATTTATAATTTATAATTAAAATTTATTTTATTATAAGAAAAATATTTTTTATTATAAATATTATTTTTATAAGAAAATTTATTAAATTTATTAATGATATTTATTACAATGAAAATTAATCTGATTAAGCAAAAAACAAGCAAAATTAGATGAACATTATAGTTACATATGCTATAAAATAATGAATAATGATTTATGAAATATAATATTATAATAGAAGCAATGACTATTTTAAATTCTTCATTTGGAGAAATCAATGATAAATAAAAAACTAAAAGAACGGAAGAAAAAGTGATAATTGCGAATTTAAATATTATTTAATTTAATTTAAGTTTCTTTTTTGAGTATTAAATAATTGGAAGAAGGATTCTCGAATATAAGAGTGGTACTGCCGTATGGTAAGCATTTCGAGTATAAAAGCCGCTTCTGCCGATTGCGCGCTTAGTTTCACTTCACGTTAACCAATTGTGAAACGACGCACTACCGACGTGAGTACCATTCACGAAATCGTTTTTACAATCATTATTAGGTTTTCTTTTACTGTTAACATTGTAGAGTTTACGAATTGCATCGACATCAGGAAATTGTATTTTTTATTGGATAATCGTTAGTCAGTTAAATTGACTTTATTGATATATGCAATTATATATCGGTTTATCTATTTCTAAAGTTCAACATTAAATCAATGTAAGTTAAAACTTTTTATTTAAATTTAAAATTAGATTTTTTTTGTTTAGGATAAAATAGGTGAGAAAGTTAATTTACTTGACAGAAAATTGTATCTTATATTGTAATTTATCACTAATAAAAGTGAAAGTATAAATACATTTTCTTAAAGAACTAAATTAACTAAATTAACTAAATTAGTATTTGAAAATCTGATAAATTGTAAAGATATTGATTGTGATATCAGAATTAAAATTATCCATGAATATCGTTTGTATTTTATTTTATAATTGTAAAATATAAAACAATATCATTAACAAACTTAATAAATCAATAAAAAATTATCATTATTTATCAATGTTTTATTTGTTTCTTTCTTTATTAATTTTAATATAAAAAAATATCAGATATTGGGATATCATTTATCAGTTTCATCATTCTTTTAATAAAATTAAATTATTATTGAAGCGATTTTTAATTGATTTTTTTTTTATTTTTATAAATTGCACTATATACGCATTAATTGCGCGAAAATATTATATAGCTATAAGTTTTAGTTTATAATATTTTTAATTTTTACATTCATTTAATTATTATATATTATATAAATGTAATAATTAAATGCTTTAAGAAAATTTAATTTATAATTTTATTTGTGATCGCATTATTTATTGATTTCTGTTCACTTTCATTTATATTTATTCACTTATATATCTATTTATCACGATTTAAAAAAGTTTTTAATTTTATATTAAAAAATATTATTTAGAAAAATTAGTATAGAAAAGTATAGAAAAAAAGTATAGAAAAAAAGTATAAAAAATTTGATATTAAATTAAATATTATATAACTAACAATTTATTAACAATATGAGTATTTGTCTTTTATAATTATATAAATATCTTTCTTCACGAAGATGTATATATATATACTTATTATTTTGTTTTATATATATATATATATATACTCATTATTTTGTATGTTTTTCGTTCCATTAAATAAAAAATTGAAAAAATGAATTTTTCTTATAATGATAAAATACAAAATAAATATCGTTTTTAATTCCAAGCTTCTTTTCATTAAAGATAAATATAAGATACTTTTTACTTTCACACACTTATTATTGAAACAGAACCTGATGTCTAATGCTTTAAAATTTTCAATTTTACATATATATAATTATATCATCTAGTGATAAAAAATTTCATTTAAAAAAAAATGAAAAATTTGACAATTTTTTAAAAAATATATTTAAAAAAATAGAATAATAAATTAAAATTAAAAAATTAAAATAATGAAATATTAAAAAATTATTCAATTTTTATATTTGTTATTTTAGATGGAAATCCGTTTAATGCTATTAGCAATATTATTCATTGTGGAATTAATTATGGCATTTCCGCAAAAAGATGGTCAAATTTTTAGTAATGAGGCTATAAAACAAGCACAGAATACTTATCTTATTCCAAAAGATGCGACAATACAAAAAGTTCAAGAAGGTATTGAACTGGCAGCTTATGAGTCAATTCCTGGCGAGCAGAAGATTAATCTTTTTGAAATTTTGGGAGCACATGTTCCATCGGAAGTGGTGAACAATCTCCAAGCCCAGATTGACCAAATAGGACGAAATTAAATTCACTTGCTCCTTTCCATTGCTATCGTCGTTTTCTTGTAAAAAATTTTTTACTTAAATCTAAGTTTTATAACAATTATTTATAAAATGATACGATGTATTTAGACTTTTCCATTTTTGATAAATAAATGATTAAAAATACTATAATATATTGGTAAAATTTTTAATTTTTAAAAATTTTCTTCATGAGAAAACAATTTAACAATAAAAATATTTATATGCTTAATAAAAAAACCATTTAAAAAATCATGACGATTTATTTTACGATTTTATAAAATTTGTTACATACTTAAAATACTTTAAACTGGCTTCCTGCAAACATCATTCGTAAAAGGAATATTACAACACGCATTCCAAATAACATCATTCATTATAAAAAAAAAAAAAGTGTCATTCGTAAATTGTGAAATGTCGAACTAAGTAACCTGCCAGAATTATATATGTACCTAGCGATGTTGGAGAAAGCTGCAGAACCACTAACCAGAGTTACACTTTCACTTCACCTACATTTATGTTACTATTGAAACGGTTCTTCTTTGGCATCTGTTACATGGCATTGCAGAGAAATTTAAATAGAACTATCTCATATTTATTATCAAATAAAAAAAAAAAAAAATATATGATAAATTTTTAAAAATTCTACTTTTATTTTAATTTCTCTTTCACATGAACTTATTCATAATCTTTCCTTTTTTCAATGTTAACACAAAATAACTATATAAAATTTAAAAGATGAAATTAATTTTTGTTTAAATTTGTAAAAAATAGTAAAAATTCAATGATAGTGCCGTTTTTAAAAATATATAACTGTGTTTAAATAACAATAATTCTATTTTATGGGCACTGTAAGTGACAATGTTTTGTACATGGTTTCTTTTGTACACATAAAAAAGTATTTATTTTGTTTACTAAGGTACAAATTTCAGAACTATGCGAACAGAATTATCAAAGATTTTGATCCATTTCAGCTTTCTTCGCTTAGTAAATTAATATCTATGTTCTGGATGTCTTATGTACGGTAATTATCATTAGTGCATTGTCTTGCATTGAGAGCATATTACAATTATATTTGTAAATTTTCTTATTGTTTATTATAATTACGAACTAATTTTCATGTCCATTTTATAAAGAACAATGACATAACAGACAAGAAAAGTTTTTTCTTGTTTTTATATATACTATCTGTACAATGAATGCCTTTTAATGCTTTAATGCATTTTTAATTTATAAACTTAATAAATTAATTATATATACGTTTGAATACTACTAGCAAACGAATAATGGAATGAAATGATATATGTTAGTAGCTATATTATATAATTAACATCGATATTTTTTTACTTAAAAAAGAGTGTTTTATGTACAAGTGATAAAAAATGTTCATACATAAATTTATGTTAAATTACCCGTACAAGTTCATACATATTATGTCGCTATCAAGTAGATACTGTCAAGTATTTGAATCTTAGTAGCACACTATCAAACTTTTAAATAATATCAACAGATCGTTTGCTAACAGTTTAAATAAATCAATGCAAGAAAATGTACTATTTTTGAAATATAATCAACGTACTATAAGAAAATTTAATATAGAATTAATATTTAGTGTTCGTGTTTTCATGTTTTTTTTCTTCAATGCGTAGACAATATTTCTTATTTTCTGTAATAAAAACATAAACAATATAAAAAATATTATATATATTATATAATAATATATATTATAGTGATATAAATTAATTTATAAAATATTTATACGTACTTAGATTTTTTCGATCCCCTATCGTTTCTTTCTGCACTTTCTTCACGAGATCGTTTCTTACTACTAGATGAAGAGTGATTAGATGATCTGTGTTTATCATGTTTATCGTGTTTATCACTCTTCTTGGGACTAAACAGAAATAAAATATCAAAAATAATAACAACAAATATACATATATTTATGTTAATCACCTGTGTTTGGATGATTTGGAAGGAGACACTTTCTTGTGTGATCCTCCACTCCGTGATCGATCCGATCTTTAATTATTAAAGCATATACTTAACACAATTTTATAGCAAAATTATATATTTCTAAGTCTAATATAATTAAAATTTTATATCATAAAATCACATAATTTCTTACCTATGTTTATCCGACGATGATGATTTTTTGTCTTTACTACTGGACGAACTTTTACTTTTTGAACTTGAAGAACTCTTGTGTTTCGAATTATGCCTATAAATTATAGATATGAAGTTAATATCAGATTTATGAATATAAATATATAAGATTATTATATATAACATACCTATCTTTCGACGGTGAAGGTGAATGTTTTCGACTTCCTTTCTTTTTTTTACTTGAATTATAATCGTCATGAAACCGATCTTCTCCTCTTTCTTTATCTTCCTCAGCTGCTTCTCGTTCCAAATCAGACCAGTCTTTACCAGATTCTTCAGAACTACCTAATTCCTCTTCTAAAATATAAATTTAATAAAAAAAGAAATATTAAATAATATTTAAAATATATTTTTCTTTTATTTATAATATTTAAATAACATTTTCGAATATTACCTTCACTATCTGAGTCTTCTGAAGCTTCAGAATATTCAGAATCATCATCAGATTCTTCCTCACTATCTAAATCAGATGGCTAAAAATAAAGTATAAGATATAAAATTCACATAAATTTTTAATATATTATTTATAATTATTTAAAATTTATTGCATACCTCATAAGCATCATCTTCTTCTTCTTCTTCATCTTCTACTTCATCATTTTCTGCATCACTTTCTGGATCTAAGAAACTCCAACCACCACTATCAAAGAATCCTACTGGATCATCTGTGATAGTTTTCATAATTTTTGTCCAGTTTAAAGACTGTACACCTTCTGTATATCTGATATCACACGAACTAAAAAAAATATAATATATCTATAATTAATTTTTAAGAAATAAATTAATAAAAAAGAGAAAAAACGCAAGAAAACTTACTTCAACCATTCCTTTACATGATCCAGCATGTTCATGGGAATAGCATTTAACATAGCAACTTTTCTATGATAATCTTTGAAAACAAAAATCATATCAAAGTTCTTAAGATGAAATTGTACTCTTTCAAAATGAACAAGTTCAACATCTTCCAAAGTAATAACAAACGGAGGCTAAAATAAATATTACAGATAATAAATTGATATTATATAATATATAAATATATATATATATATATATATATATATATAGTAACAAAA